TCCTGATTTTTTGGTAAGGTTGTGCAGCACTCAGCAATACAAAGATGATTTTTTGCTTTTAGAGCTTGGAGATAGAAAGTTTAAGAAAATACTTGGATTATGAGGTTTTCAAAACCTTTAAAAAAAATAAAACAAAAAACAGCAATAATAACCCTCTCCAACTAGGATCTAGTAAACCTTTCCATTACTGTAAGACTAGCTAGCATGACTATAGCGAAGCCTATAACTATATTAAGATTTGATATCTTCCTAAATATTGTTATCTTTTAAAAATATAGTTACTTTATAATAACTCTTTGAAGGCGTTTTTTGTTTGTTTGTTTGTTTGTTTTTTGGTCTCAGACTTTTCACTAATTATTAAAGCAGTTCAAACTACCTGGAGACTGGCTTGTCTTAGTGTTTCTTGATTCACACCTGGACACTATGTTTTGAAAGTTAAATGGAGATCAAATTTCATTCCAGAAAATGTACTTAACACATACATAGGACTTTGCATTTGTGTTTTACTAATAAAATAAAATAACCTAAAATAAAAATATGTTACAGTAACTGAAAAACTATTTTGGTTTGTGTAAGTGTCCTGTGTGAAAAATAATGTGTGTGAAAACTATGAAACATTCATTGAAATTCCATGTTCCTTTGGTCTTTATCATTTTTGTTGATTTGACAATACTATAAGACACCATGAAACCTCTATTTCTGCATGCTGGTATGCATTCCTACCAAGTTCTCCCTCATTTTTTTTCTCCTGGATGATGAGCTCATGCCCTTGTGGATGATTGCACCCATCCTCTGCTGTTACTGTAGAATAATGCTTCTATTTTTATTGTTGTTTTTCAGCACCTTAGTTCAATCGGTCTCTCCAAATGTTGTCTTTCTGTAGACTATTTGACCACACTTCCTCTAAACACTTTTTTTTGACTGTGCTTGAAAGACTGGTGGGCTTCACAGAGCACTTTCAAGCATGATGTGATTCATCTGTACCTTGGCTGATCACTAGAACAATGCTTTGTTTGTTATATTTTATTCCAAACTTGAGACTCGAGCCCAAAGGGACTGAGTTTCTGTGGAAATAGCTATCATATAGTCAGTTCTGTTGCTTATTGTAGTTTGTAAATTAAACAGAATAGATGTTGGAGAGCAGTTTTTTTTGTGCTGCTTGTTATCCCTTTGCTCTCACTGCCTTCCTGCTGCTGTTGATTAAGTTTAATCTCACAGCACATCAGAATTAACAGGCTGTGCATTTTGTAAGTCTTTTGAAGAAAGCTTTTGTCCCCAGGTTCCCTGACAAACATAAGTTGTTATTCGCAGTGGGGTAAATGCCTGAAGCAAGGGAAGCAATTGCATGTAAATTGTAAATCTGACTGCAATGCCGATGCATTGGCTGTATGCTGAGAGTAAACCCAAATGAAACATATTTGTCTTCATAAAGCAGTAAAATAATCTGTACAGGCTATAAGAGAAAGAGGTTGAGTCATCTGAGGATGAAGTGATTTGAATTCAAAATGGTTAATTGTGGACTTTTATATATAAAATATTCTTTTAATCTGGGTGACAACAAAGGTGCAGCAGCTTTTAGAAAAAATATATTTGGTAAAAGAAGTCATTTAGTATGTTACCAACTGGACAAAATAGTTTACTTAGTGATGAAAGCCACAGCTATATGGATTAACAAACTTCTAATTCATCTAAAACAGGCAGTATGGTAAATTGTGGTCTGTTCAACGTAAATTTTATTTTGGAATTTGCAATTAAGCAAAACGCCACAAGTGGTCACCATGCTTTCACTGATACGGAATTGGATATGAGAATTTTAACCCAGTCGCAATCAAAGCTATGAAAATTGTTTTAGCATTTTTCTTCTTGGAGGAGAAATGTAGTAAAAAGCTAGTAATGTTTTGAGATGTATTAGCCTATACTGACTCTCTAAATATAAATATTCTGCTAGCAACTCACTCTACTCTTTCTCAAGTACCTGTCTTGCAGTTGTGAAGGCTAAGCACATCTTTTAGTCTGGAAGTTCACATTCCAAACAATTGAAGTAGCCCCCAAATGCTGCTTTTCAGTATCCCAGCTGACATTCCACTTTTGTTCATGTTTGGAATGCAAATTTGGCTGTGAAACTTTCACCGTTAGGAGAAAAAAAAAAAAAAAGGAAAAAGGGAAAAAAAAAAAGGTTTTGTTTCAGTATTCATTTAAGATGAACAAATTTAAACCATCAATATTCACGTATTTACTCTTAATTAAGGGATATTGGCTAAACAACTGGAGGGGGGAGGGGTCAGTGGTTCATACAATGCGGAATATTTGTAACTCCATGTGGATTTGTTGGGAATGTAGCTTTAAACTGGACCTGGGTAGTTTCTGTGTGTATGTAACATTTAAAGTACAGTTTGATGCAGATATTCCTTTGCTGTGGAATATTGACAATAAAACATTAGCAATAAGAGTAGTTCTGTTAGTGCTTTATGCTACTTCACTTATATTGTAGCATGAAGGTTAAAATAGATAGATAGATAGATAAAAAGAAATCAAAACCCAAACTGTAACAATAAAAAATGTAGTTCTTGTAGTGTGGAAGGCAATTCTGGTATGTACAAATGTTAAAAGGATTTGACAGGCTTTGGTGTGTGCACTTTTTACAATTTCTTCTGTGGCATTGCTACTTCTAATGTCTATCATGTCATATTAGGAGGAAGTACTTTGTGAACTGATAGTTCAATTCACAATCATATTAGTAGAGAAGTGAGGTAAGTAAGAGATGTCTGAAGATATATGTGTCATCATGTCAGGAAAACTCTTGCTGGCATGTGTCAGAAAAACTCCTGCCGGTCCTGTCTGCAGAACTTTTAATGTAGGTGCTGAGGTTTGTTTTGGGTAGGCCTTAGTTGTATTCTTTTCTATTTTTCTTCCAGTAGTGATAGCAAAGCAGGGTAATGAGTCCAAAAATTCTCAAGGTAGCTTTTGCTGACACGTTGTAAATCATGCACATTTAGGGGATATATAAATCTTGAGAATCACACTGGGTGACTTTGTTTTCCTTGTCTGTTTCTAATGCAAATGACTGTCTTTACCATCATTCTGACTGCAGTAGTCTCCCTTATTTGTTGTCTTTCTGGAACTAAACTTGTTTTGGTCAACACTTTGGCACCTTATTACAATTCAAGGAATACTGCTGTTTTGTCTCTCTCTTTACTTACATCCGTTTGTCTTACTTCTTTCTTTCTTTCTTTATTTATTTATTTTACATAGAATATTTTTACATGCTTGTGATCAGCTGGTGCCTCCTATCTTCCTATTACAGCACCTCTCAGTAACTTACTGTGAACATAAAATAAGTATACAAGCACAAACTCATGAGAGGGCATTTTTATGATCAATGCTGATGGCGGTGTTGTGGAGTTGCTATGTGACTTCAAAACTTCCAACAGTTCTTCTTGCCTATTTTAATTAGTTAGGATGAACCCAGTGAAGGAGAATTTTTGTGCTGTTAGTCCTGTCACCATACAAGTGTACTCTTAATGCTATATATGTTAATAAGAAGGAAAGACAACATGCAGAATGGTTAAGAAAAACTGTTCATTTATGCTCTATTTAAAAAATGCACCTACATGTAGTTTGTAGACAAGATCTTAAAAATCTGAAAGAATCTCAAAAACAAATTATTAAGTCCCTTTTTGGTCTTCACAGAGGTTTCTTTCACTGGACCACTACGAAACACAGTGCAGTGAAGTGTTTGGTCTGAGTTTTACTCATTTATTTATTTATTTTTGAAGAGTTGAGATGCTAGAGACAGGACTGTTTTGATGTTGTCTTCCTGATATTTACAAGCTTTGGGTGAAAATTCACTCAATTTAGTGGTGTGTATCTTGCCTTGAAATTAACAACATTTGACTTTTAAAATATATAGGTACTTTTGAAAAACAACACATAGTAGCTGAAAATAGTAAAGTTTCTATATCTTTATTGAAGTAAAACCTGAGTGTCATTCAACTCAAGATTCATTTAGCCTGAATTTCAATTTACATAAATTTAGTTTTACTAATATTACAGGCACAACAGCATATGAAAACATATTTTTTGTAAATCTCGAGGAATTTGCATATAAGATAAGTATTTTTTTATGGGTATAGCTAAAAAATAAAACTGATTTGGTAGATAAGAAAATATAAATCAGTGCACTAAAGGACTTTTAGCGTTCTGTGTTCATGAAACCTTACCCTCCTGTGTGCCTTTTCTTACCTTATTCTGTGTATTTACAACTTTTTCGTTGTATAATTTCCTTGAGGAAAAAAAAAAACAACAAAAAAAAAAAAAAAAAAAAAAAAACAACAACACTACAGTTTCTTCCTCCAGTCTTAAACTCCAGACTTCCTCCAGTCTTAACCTCTTTAAGGAGCTCTTCCACATTGGTGAGCACCAGGCCCAGTAATGCTTCTCCTCTAGTATGTTTGTCTAACACCTGGAAGAGGAAGTTATTATCAGAGGACTCCAGGAGTCTCCTGGATTGCTTACTGCCTGCCACGTGGCTTTCCTAACAAATATCCAGGTGGTTGAAATCTCCCAGGAGGATGAGAGCCTGTGAGCGAGAAGCTTCTTGTAGTTGGAGCAGCTCCCACTGATCATGTGGCCTGTAGCAGACCCCAACCACAAGACATCTTTTGTTGGTCCAGTCCTTAATTTTTACCCACAGGCTCTCAACCAACTCTTGGCTGTTTTCTCAGGGGTGGCTCTTCACAGTCTGACAATTTCTTCTTCGTCCACATCCTTCCTGTGGACGAAGCTCTTCTCTAGAGTTGGACTTTCCTTTCTATTTAAGAGGAAGACACGTTGATGTAGGAAATACTAGTAAGGAAATAAACCTTACAGTCAGACTAGTGTCCTAGTAAAATTCATTTCTGAACAGCTGGCCGTGCATGAGTTTTGTACTTATTTGATAGCTGCAAAGCTCAGTGAGCAAAAAAGATGACTAACCTGTGATATGTTATTTTGTTTTACAGGAAAAGGCTCAGTGTTTGCAGAAGGCTTTTGTTTCCCAAGCAGATAAATCCACGCAGACAGAACTTGTAGGCCATGATGTAAGTAGCTGTATTGAGCAGTCCTTTTTCTTTTTCATCTTTATGGGTTTTCACAGTTCTATCAGCCTGTTTGCTTCTGCTGCTGTTGTGTCTGTGCACTGATTTAATGGGATTTACTGGAACACCATTCATCCTTTGCTCTTAAATGATTTTTAAATGGCTTCTGCAACATGAGAAGATAATTGCAGCTACCTGCCAGCATACCGATACCCTATTAATTTTATGCTTTACAAACAGCTCAGAATTAGCTTAAATGAATGCAGAGGATATGTATTAATGGATTGTAATTTTTTTCAGTGTCAACAGTCATTTACACACTTATTAACAAATTAATTAGGTTATTATGTTTATAATCACCATATGCTATCCAAACAAAATTTGAATTTTGGAAGATAATGGAAGAGGTCTAATAATGACAAGTATTGTTAAAGTTATATTTCTTGAAGAGCGTCACTCAAAATTTCTGCTGGAAAGTGAAATGATACTTTTTACCCCCATGGAAGACCATAAGAACATAGTAGAAAACATTTTTGTCAGCTTTTTTTTTTTAATGTTATCTTTTTTTTTGGGAGATCAGTTGAATATATGTGAGAAATTTACTTGTTCTTTATTCATAAATAATGTGTGATTAAAAATGCCAGAATGTTGTATATTGACAGTTCTTTTGTTCTATCATTTGAGTAGAATCTAACAGTACTTCTCACCAAAGACTGTTCTGCAAACTAAGGCAGTGTTTCTGCACTGATGTATATCAACATGCTTCTTCCAGTTTATAAAAGAAACACTGGAATCAAAGCAGGTTTTGAAACCTTTCTTTCAGCATGTTTTTTTTGTTTGTTTGTTTGTTTGTTTTTTTATCAGTGAGCATTAAAGTTTTTGTCTTCCAAGTCTTCAGATAGTCTTGTGAAGATAAAAAAAAAAAGTAAGATTTTCACATTTTAATCAGAAATGTTATTGAAGCCAAGTATGCTTTTCTTTTTTTTTGTAGTATGCTTTTCTCTTTTTTTGTTTATTTTTTTTAAGTTGATTCAAACAAGGAGTATGATTTATTATTATTATGGTAAGTAAAATAGTTTGCACAAAAATGTTTACTAATAATTACTATTTTTGTGTATATTACTTTTAACACTTGTGGGCTTTTTGTTTTCTTTCTTCTAAGTATTTTTTCATGTAGGGCACATGTCAATATTTTATTAAATGTACCTACCTCCACTGATTTCTTGTGCATAGGTTGCAGAACATGAGCCTGTGTATTCTGTTGCATTCGTGTATTCTGCTGTATTCATCTGTGAAATAGCAAGTGTCGTTTGGCCATACTGAAACTGTGAGGTGTATCTACTGATGGTGAAAATCCCATAATATTCAGAAATACCTTTAAAACTGTTAATGGTATAATTCTGTACCTCTTTCTGCTGGGGCTAATTATCCTTAATAGCTACTGTACTAACAAGAGCTCAGATGTTAAGTAAAAGTCTTCGACTACAAATGACAGTGACCAATTTCTAGGATATATATATATATATATGTATATATTTAACAGTTATGATTTATGCATTTGGTTGTTATCCCTACCCTGCCCTAAACCAAATATGTGGTATATGCTGCAGTGATTAATGCTGTTAACTGAGTTTTTCTTCTTTTTCCAGTAATTTATTTTTTTTTCCTATGGAGGGGGGGATTTTTTCTGTTGGTAGTGGGTTGCTGATTCTGTGGTAAAATTAGATGCCCCACCCTCCCCCAGACAGATACAGTTTTCTAGATGAGGTCTGAGTATTGAAGATAACAACAATAACAATACAAATCCTTTTCTTTATCAGTATTGTCTTAAACAGTAGTGAAACATTTTTCAACCTTCCCTGGTAAATTGTCTCTGTCATGTCATGGCTGAAATTGTATGTTTTCTTATATAGTACACAGGAACAGAAGAACAAAAGGATATGTGGAATATTTTTGTATTAACACATAAGTATCTTGTAGAGAACACTTGCAGAAATTGTGTTACTGGGAATAGATTACAGAGAAAGTTGAACTGGTCTACAGGAATGAGTCATGCTTACTATGACCATCATTAAGGGAATTCAAGCCATGCAAGAATGAAGATGAATGTACAAATAAATAATTTTAACACTTTTCATAATACTAGTGTTATAAACTTTTGCTCATTCTTTTATTAGATCATGCAGCTTTCCTTCAAGGTTGTTTATTACAGGTAATTAGTTCAGCTGTGTTTACATTGTAGCCAAGCAGCAATTACATTGGTATTCTTTGCTTGTATATGAAATTTTCAAAACCAAAACGTAACCCTGGCAAGTGGTATCCGTACATCATTTTATCTAGGATTTTGTACGTGTAACTACAAGAGTACTGTGCTAATGTGAAATTAGATTAAATAGTCAAATGCAAAAGAGAATGCAAGAGAGAATCTTCAGCACATTGGTCACACATTCTGAGCACAGCATACATTGAATACTAAAGATATGTAGTTCAACAGGTAAGCAGAAAAACTAAGTTCATTCCCTCATCACTACAGATTCGCTACTGTAAAGCAAAACAAGCAATCAAAAAAGTCAAATATTTTAACCCTTAATACAACTTCAAAAACGAGTGATAGATAAATGTATTATCAATAATAGCATTATTTCACTGATGTTGTAAACACAGAATATACTTCAGACTGTAGTATTTCCGAAATCCTTAAGTTAGTGTTTAACATTTGCTTAACCACTATGCTACTTGACTACATTGAAAGTAAAATATCAAGCTAGCTGCCATGTGTATCGTGGAAAGACATGAGAAAATAATCCAGGTTTCATAGAAAGCTAATTGCTTTCTAGTGCAGAATGACAAGGAATTTCTATGTAAGTAGTCCTAAAATTAATATTTCTTAAAGTAGTGTGAACTAAGAATCATTTAAAACTTTTTGGGAGTCTTGCAGAAAGAGTCATGTGCACAACAGATTAATGTGGGAGACTGCAAAATGATGAAGTTTCTTAAATAATTGTAACAAATAATTTCTTACATGCCAATCAAGTTACTTTACAACTAACATCGTGACTGATTACAATATCATGTGAACTGATACAATTCTAGTAATGGAGCTAAAGAAATAGTCCTAAGTATCATGCTGGCATCACATAAGCACACAAGCATGTGCTGTTGCAAATGAATTTTCCTTAAAATGTGTCCTGAAAGCAGAATCAAACAACCACAGTACAGTTCTCTATTTCAGTCAGAAAAAGAATTCCAGCTCATCATCAGTCTATCAGGTTTTGGATGAAAATTATTTGTCCTTAATTTTGATACACCTAGATTAGAAGTTTCTAGGGGTTGGCATGATTTCTAAAGTGCCTTTTCTATGTTTTCTTTATTGCTGATATTACAGATTTCACAACCCTGAACTGCTGTTCTGTGCTTTCTCTCTCATGCTGAAACAGATATAAGCAGGTTTTAGACTGGTTCTTAACTCATTCCCCATTTATTGAGTATCCATTCCAGCTTAGTGATCACCTGACATTTTGTCTTGTGCTTCTAGAGTCTCAGACAACAAACTTGCATGTTATTGCTACCAGTCTGCTTACTATTTGATTTGCATATGTTTACAGCAGTGCTGGCTGATACGCAAGCAGAGACTAACTCCAAAACCCTGTACTGCCATGCAAAATTAAAATTAATAGGTGTCCATACTAATACATTTTCAGTGTATTTGTCTTGTAGCTTGTTCTACTTCGCCTTGGACACCATTTCCCTCTCAAAACTTGTGCACCTCTCTCTACAGAACCGCTTTGTTTCACTAGGAGGGGGTGGAAGATATAGATCTGGATGCCATAACTTCCCCTCCACCTCCTACCAATCCTGCTTGTCTTCTCTGGCTGCCAGGCTTTATGAATACTGTGAGGAACTACAATGCATTATGTTTTCTCCTTTAGGAAGGGAAGAGAATACTAATGTACTTAAATCTTCTAGTTTAATCCGAATATATCTAAATATGTATATACAGTCCACAGTATCATATAGTTTGTTACAATGTGAAATGGATTTCATTATCCCACCTAAACCAAAAAATCATCCTGCTTCTGCTTTTTCTTTTTTTCTTTTAGCCTGGGAAACTGATGTCCACCTGCTATTGTATGTTACTACTACCTTTTCTCTACTTATTTCTTATTTTATCTCTTGGGGTTTGTTTTCTAAATTATATGGTGAGATAATGCAAAATCATGCCTAATATACCTCTAACACAATTCTTCAAAAAGTAAGTTCACTTGGAAATCAAATCTGTGGTTAAGCATTTCGGTCTTTGCTTTTCTTGTACTCCTGCGTACCTAACCAAAAATGGATATCCAAGTTGTTCTTAGAGTGCATATTCATTTCCCACAACTTCCTCCATCAGTCATTTTCTCTTTTTCTCATTTCATTTCCCCATTTTCAGTACACCATTTCAAAACTTCTAGGCAAAATGTTTTCCAGGCTGTCCTACTCCTGCAAATTATTTCAAACTTTCCGTCCGGTGATTGCAAAATATTTTGCTGAAACTTTGTTGTTGTTGTTCTTAATGATTGCTTCCCACCAAACCTTTCCAAACGTATTGCCTAACCATCAAAGCCTAGGTTTTTTGCTGTGTGAGTTTTGATAAAGGTAGTTACATTTATTAGTTTAAAATAAACTGGGTTTTGGGATAGAAACTGTGACTTGCAGCGTGGAAATCAGAGAGGCTTCCACTAACTAGTTTACTTTGCATTCTGTGGTGTTGCTCAGTAAGTGCAAATGCTCTTCAGTTGTTATTTTTGAATTCAACTTGCTTTCTGTACAAATAAAATCATTGGTAATATCTGTAGTAAAATGTGGCTTGATATAGTAGTGGAGTCTCCTCGTAGACCAAAATTAGAATAATACTGTAGTGTCTGCATCTTTTAAAACATAGTCTTTCTGTAATACATCTGTAATAAGTGTAATAAGATATTCTTGACTTTTTACTTTTCCATCTTCCTACTTACTCTGTATTT